ACTTCTTTCCAGGATGAAGAGGAAGCATTAGTGAGCACCCTCTGGGTTCGTCCATTTAACCAATTACAGATCCACCTCACCGTAGTTTTGCCTAGCCCACATTGGACTAGTTTCCTTGCCAGAAGGTCATGGGGGACCTTGTCGAAGGCCTTACTGAAATCCAGGTACGCTACATCCACGGCATTCCCCGCATCTACCCAGCTTGTAACTCTATCGAAAAAAGAGATCAGATTAGTCTGGCATGACTTGTTTTTGATAAATCCATGTTGACTATTAGCAATGACCGCATTTGTTTCTAAGTGTTTGCAGACCACTTCCTTAACAATCTTTTCCAGAATCTTGCCTGGTATTGATGTGAGGCTGACCGGACGGTAGTTGTTTGGGTCATCCTTTTTTCCCTTCTTGAAGATTGGGACCACATTGGCCCTCCTCCAATCTGCTGGAACTTCTCCCGTTCTCCAAGAACTCTCAAAGATGGTTGCCAATGGTTCCGAAATGACTTCCGCTAGTTCCTTCAATACTCTTGGGTGTAGTTGATCTGGCCCTGGGGACTTGAACTCGTTTAGAGCAGCCAGGTATTCCTGGACGACTTGTTTCCCAATTTGGGGTTGGATGTCCTCAAATCCCTCATCCACTCCGTCTTGCTGAGGTTGAAGATGACTTTCTTTTTGTGAGAAGACTGAGGCAAAGAAGGTATTAAGTAATTCTGCCTTTTCCCTATCCCCTGTCAGCATTGCCCCATCTTCTCCTCATGGACTTGCTTTCATCTATGGATCTTCCTGAAATGAACTATGAACTTATACTGAGCCATGAACAAGGCTTCTATCAATTTCCCTATGGGACACTGGGGGGGGGGGGGGGAATAAATGGGTATGGTTTCTATAACATGATTTTTGTATTTCTGTATTTCCCCCCTGTGTATCTGACCTTTTCCTGACCCTTTGGCCCCATTCCCTTCTCCTTGGAAAAAAATGTATAAAAATATAAGGAAGTCGCCCTGATCCTGGAAGGGGAGAGATTAGCAGTTGAAAGAACCTTATCAAAGGATACTTCTTGTATGGACTATAACAAAGTGTCGTGCCCCTGGCCTCGGAGGATTTGACCATCAGGGGGGAAATGGCCGCTTGGCAAACCTTGATTATATTTCAATAGGACAGGGGGAAGCCTTCGGAAAGCTTCCCCCCTCCTGACCTGTCACCCATTCAATCTCTCACAGAAAACATCTACCTAAGTTTCCCCCATTGTTCCTCTGTCTTAGCGTAAAAGAAAAACCTGGATTATGGCGATATCGCCAACATCAATGTTTATTTTAATCAATTACCAGACAATAGTAAGGCTTAGCTCGTAGGCCATTTAGGACTTGCCAAGCCCCTTGGACATTTTCTGACACCATAATCCACTCAAGAATGCATTGTATTCCCTTGTCCCGCCTCCCCCCCTCCTGATTTACCGATTGCCGAGGCGACGGAAGCCCTCTGATTGGCCCAGGTGCACCACAGGAGCCCTGTGATTGGCCCGGGCGCTCGAGGGGTGGCCGAACCTCCTCCCAGCTGTTGCCGCATCAACCAATCACCTTTGAGCCGGGAGGAGTGCGGGGAGCAGGAGATTCAAATCACACAACTCTGTTTTTCTATAAAAATGGCATTTATTTGTACTCATGTATGCTTAGCTTGGCGAATGATTGCTGCTCTGCATCCTTTTCAGCTGAATCGCTAATAAATCATCTCGGTGGCGCTTCCTTCAACTTTGGTGAGATTCTTTTTGGGAACTTAGGGAAAATAAATCATTTAAAATTGGGCTTGCTCACCAACGTAGCGATCCCTCTTTGGTGGGGCCGCAGGGTCTCTCCTTCTGGACTAGACCCTTTTAAATTCCCAATTGACTTCAATATCATGCAAGTTGTTTCTTGAACATGCCACAGATGGCAGCACTAACAGTCCAGTCAGTGCTGCTCTTGTGGCAAAACAATGAACTTCAATAGGTAAGAGAAAATTTAAAGCTACTAGGCTAGTAGGCCTCAAATTTTCTCTTGCCTATTGAAGTTCATTGTTTTGTACTAGCCTAATAGGAGTCCCCGGTGGCGCAGTGGGTTAAAGCCCTATGCCGGCAGGACTGAAGACCAACAGGTTGCAGGTTCGAATCCGGGGAGAGGCGGATGAGCTCCCTCTATCAGCTCCAGCTCCTCATGCGGGGACATGAGAGAAGCCTCCCACAAGGATGATAAAACATCAAATCATCCGGGCGTCCCCTGGGCAATGTCCTTGCTGACGGCCAATTCTCTCACAACAGGAGCGACTTGCAGTTTCTCCGGTTGCTCCTGACATGACCAAAAAACCCCCCAAAACTAGCCTAATAGATCTAAATGCTATTATAATATTTAAAAAGATGGATCAATATCAGGATACGTGCAAGTTTTAAAAGAAAAAGGATTGAGCAAGCAATGTATGGTAAATAGTTAATTTAGTGTTATTCCAAATAAAACTTAACTTACCTTTAACTTTAGATAAAGTGTCTTCCTTTCCGGGCTTTATAAAAATGATGTTATACTCTTTTGGCTTTGTTTCATGTTAGTTGTTCTGTCTTCATGTGTTATAGCTAGGCTGAAAGGAATTTCACACAAATGTCTATGACTCCGACGTGATGTGCGTCTATATATTTCTAATAATTGATGTGGATTGTTATGCTCTACCAATAGCCCTCTGCTTCCTTTCAAGACTAATCTTAAACTTAAACTGAACAGAAATCCCCAACGGTCATTCTAATTGTCATTCCCAGAGTTCTAAAGCTAGGGCTCCTTACCCCTCCCCTACTCTCAAAGACACAAGCTCTAAATTACATATTCTGCCTTTGGAGGCAGCATATTAGTAGATTAACTAACTTCATTTTAACGTAGAAGAACTGTTTAATAATAATAATAATAATAATAATAATAATAATAATAATAATAATGGGCATTGAATGAAGCCAATGCTGGGTCTGGACCAAACTTGGCTCATAGAGCCAATGTGCCCAATAATGCATACAGGCAGGGATTGGGGAATGGCCCCTTTCAAATGGTAGTTGTTGTTTATCTGGTTCCGGAAAGCACTGAAGGCAGCCAACATCATATCTGGACCAAACATGGCCAACTGTGTATACAGGACAGGCGGAGATTGGGGGTGATTGACCTTGGATCTAGCAGTTGCATTGCGCCCTTATTCAGAGGGCATTGAACCAAGCCAATGCTGGATCTGGACTAAACTTGGCACATAGAGCCAATGTGCCCAACTGTGCATAGAGGCAGGGATTGGGGAATTATTGCCCTTTTTCAAATGGGAGCTGTTGTTTACTCGGATCCAAAGAGTCCCAGAAGGCAGCCGACAGGCTTTACTCCCAACCACGAGTGTGGCGAGACTTCATTGCACAGGTATGAAGGCCTGCAGAGTGCACGGGAGCAAAGGCCTATTGCGGCCTCCAAATGGTCAGTGGTGCGATGGCACCCTCTTTGGCGCCTTGGCTGTTGGCACATTCCCTTTACTCTCTCAGCACCAAAGGCTGAAACCAAGGGCACTGAAAAGGAAAGAGAGTGCACCAAGGGCCCAGGCGCGGACAAGGATGCCACTGTTCCACATACCAGTAAGGCCTTCTTGCGGACCATTCTGAGAGGTTTTTTTTGGGGGGGGGGCTGAAGCCCCTTAAGCCCCCCTCCCACTGGCTACATGCCTGCTGTCGGCCGTCACCACCCTCCGCTCCTTCAGAATCAAGCCAATCACTTCAAGGATACCATCCATCCAACTTGCGCTTGGTCAGCCCCTCTTTCTTTTTCCTTCCATTTTCCCCAGCATCATTGTCTTCTCTAAGCTTTCATGTCTTCTCATGATGTGGCCAAAGTACTTCATCTTTGCCCCTACTATCCTTCCCACCAATGAACAGTTGGGCTTTGTTTCCTGATGTATAGACTGGTTGGATCTTCTCGCGGTCCAAGGCACTCTCAGAATTTTCCTCCATCACCACAGTTCAAAAGCGTCTATCTTCCTTCACTCAGCCTTCCTTACAGTCCAGCTCTCACATCCATAGGTCACTATGGGGAATACCATTGCTTTGACTATGCACTGACTACTACCATTGCTTTGACTACACACACACACACACATACATATATATATACACACACACACATACATACACACACACTCTAGATATATCTCTATCTATACATACCACATCTATCTATCTATCATCTATCTATCGCTGTAACTACAGACTGTCCCTGGGTTATAAATATCCAACTTACAAACAATTCATAGTTAAGAAAGAGTGTGATAGAAATCTATTCCTAGTAAGGGAAATTTGTTCCTGGGAAGAGTTATCATAGGTAAAAGGTGTCTCTACTGAAGACAAATCCTTGTTTCCACAAACCAAATATTTCAAAATCCAATTTTTGTTCCTGAGTTATAAATGTCATTTTCTAATTGGTTCTATCATAAAAACAAGAGAAAAGTTTATTAAACAGGGAAAATGTATTGTTGAAGGTTTTCATGGCCGGAATCAGGGAAAACCTTGTTTTTGCGAGACATCCTGCAGCATGTTTTTCTATAGTTTTTTAATGAATATCTCATAGTCTCAATTAATTCAATATAGTTTGTGGCAGACACATAAATGAAGTTTCTGGAGTATAAGAACTACTTTCAAAATACGTACAGCACACTTGAACAGGAAAGAATACTTGCAAACCAAGAACCATTTTTTTAAAAAAAATGTTTCATAGTGTTATCACAGGGACAGAAAGTGAGGTGAAATCTTCTGAACAGGGACAGACAGCAAATCAAACACCACAGGAGTGTCAACCCTTCCCTATGCTATCCAAAGCATGCATATATGAGGGGCATTCATTCAAGATTTCCGCTGACCTACTTCTATTTATCACAGGATGCTGAAACTGCAAATGTGTAATGATATACATCTCTATAGGTTACATGCCAATTTACAACTCAGAACTGATAAAGGTCTTGATTTTACAGGTGCTGAAGAGGTGTGGAATACAGAGGAGTCATTAAGTTCCTTTACTTGAAAGCCGCACACCAAAGAAGACGTTTAATGACATGAAAGAGGTTTATGGTGATAATTCCCAATCATATAATGTAGACAAGAACTGGCATCGTCAATTCAAATGTGGTCAGACTTTGGTGGAAACAGTTCCAATTCCAGGGTGACCTCACCCTGCTATTGATGAACACATCATCCAGCAGCTGGAGGTTGCCATTTTGGAAAATCGCCACATAACCATTCACCACCCAGCCCCAAATGTCAAGATTTATGTGGGGTCCATGGAAAAAAAATCATCCAAGACCATCTTCACATGCATAAGGTATCCGCTCACTGGGTCCCCTGGCTGGAATGAGTCGAATGCTCGCAGGCTCTATTGACGATATGCCATGGAAACCAGGAGGACTTTTTCAACAGACAGATCACACAGGAAGAAAGCTGGGTCCATTACTATGATCCTGAGACTGAAGTCCAGTTGATGCAATGGAAGTATAATGACTCACCACATCCAAAGAAGGCACGTAGGCAGCTCTCACAGCAAGGTCATGCTCACAGTATTTTGGTATCGGCACAGAGTAGTATTGATGGATTTCCTAGCAAAGGGTACCATGATCACCGGGGCATACTATGCTTTGCTGCTGTGGAAACTGCGGGAGTTCATCAAAACCAAGAGGCATGGCATGCTCACCAGAGATGTTCGCCTTCTGCAAGACAATGCACAAGTTCACAACTCACATGTTGCCTGAATGGAAGCATGCTCCTGTGTCTTTGAAATTCTACCGCAAACCCCTAATTCATCTGATCTTGCACCATCGGACTTCCATCTCTTTCCAACAATGAAGCTGTTTTTGAAGGACAAGCGTTTTTCAGACGATGAGACTAATTTCTGAAGTCACAAGATGGCTTTTGGAGCAACCTGTCAACTTCTACAAGCGAGGTGTTTACAATTGCTTAAAAAGATGGGAGAAGTGTGTGCCCCTAGGTGGCACCTATATAGAGAAAGACTAATAACTGTGCCAAGTTTCATTGCTCTCAGTCCACAGGAAGTGGGTCAGGGGAAATCTTTAATGAATGCCCCTCATGTGTGTGTGTCTGTATGGCTGGAGTTAAAATTTATTTATTTATTTCCTATATTTATACCCTGCCTTTCTCCCCCCGAAGGGGGACTCACGGCAGCCTAACAAAAGCATCATACAATGCTAGCATCATAAAAACAACCACAGTACAATCAAAATATTAAAAAATAAAACAACAATTAAAACAATTAATTAAGACACATCCATTAAAATCGAAATCCAAAAACCAGTCTGGGTCAATTCATTGCCATAAGTTGTGTACCTGATGTACATACAAATTCAACTTAAAAACAAACCTACAGAACCTATCTTGTTCATAACTTGGAGACTGCTTATATACATATATGTATCAGGAGCCAAATATTGCAGCTTCTATCTCCTTCAGTTGGGTTTATAGTGGTGTTTGTTAATCGATTCAATAAACAGTCTAGATCTTCAGTGATAAAGTGGGCCATTTTTTGATAGAGGGAGGCACCTTCTACATTGCCATGTGGAGTAATGTAAAATAAACCATATAATCAATTTAAAAGCAGATAATCAGATTTTATATAAAAGTGTAGAAGGGGCTATAGAACTGCTGTTGGTTTGCTTTTTTCATCTCAGGGGTACGTATGAGTGTCTCTGTGTTTCCATATGCCTATTATTCCGTATGATAAAACCAATTAGAAAATGACATTTATAGCCCTGGAACAAAAAACATGTTACATAGTGTAACTGGATTTTGAAACATTTGGCTTATTGTGGAAACAAGGGTTGGTCAGAAAGCTTCTGTGGAGACAACTTTTCTGCATTATAATTCTTCCAGGAGTGAATTCCTCTTCCTAGGAGTAGATTTCCCTCAGTCCTGTTCTTAACTATGAGTTGTTTGAAAGTCAGATGTTTATAACTCAGGGACAGTCTTTAGTTACAACTATAGATAGATGTGATATGTATATAGATACATAAATAAAATATATACCAAGAGCTGTTGATATATATATGCAGCTGTATATATAGAGAGATATAACAACTATATATATAACTATCAGGAGTGAACGTTTTAGCTTCTACCTTCTATATACAGATTGTATATATGGAAACTTATATATATATATATATATATATATATATATATATATATATATATACACACATACACACACACACACATATATACACGACTATATAGTTATTATAGAAAGTTGTGCGTATATCAAGAGCCAAACGTTATAGCTTCCACCTCCTTCAATTGCCAATGATGAAACTGTGGCAGTTAAAAGTGCTCCCTTATCAGCGTTCCTACCCCCTAAGGGTGCACCTGCACTGCAGATTTACCACTACTTTAATGGGAAAAGCCCTTTCCGCCTTTCTACGAAAGCAGAACCTCAGGCATCGCCCCTCCGGACCGCCCCTTCCCCTCTGTCAATCTCCTCGCCCTTTTCATTCAAAGGCCGAGAGACCCAAATCCACGTGACCGCGACATCCGGGTCACCTGCGGGTGGGGCTAAGTAAGGAGTGGGCGGAGCGAGACAGAGCCACAGGGATTGGGTTGGGCGGGCGGACGAGGGCGCGCACGCCAGGCAACGAGGCGGCGTCCCCAAGGAAGGAAGGAAGCAAGGAGGACGCTTTCTCTCTCTCTCTCTCTCTCTCTCTCTCTCGCGCGCGCGAGGTGGCCTTGTGCTAGCACCTCCTTGTCCGCGCTTCAGAGGAGGAAGCGCCCGCCGGCTGTACAGAGGTGGAGGGGAGGGAGGCGCCGTGGGAGGGACCTGGGGCCTTGGAGGAGCCTGGCGGTCGCGTCGTGAATCTGACCCCGAGCAGGAGCTCCTGGGGCGACGGAGGCCGGCCTTAACCGCGCGGCTGGCTCCGGGGCTGGCGGCGCCTAGCCCTCCGCCGCCAGGGGGACCTGCTGGGCGGGAAAGTGGCGGCGACAGCGGAACTGCTCCTGGCAGCGTTTCGGGCCTGTCCTCGGAAGCGGCGGCGGCGGCGGCGGTTGGCAGCGGTGCCTCTTCGCTTCCAGACAGAAGGCGGCGGCGGGAAACGGCTCCCGGGATGCTTTCCTCCCTAGGAAGGGCGGGCTGACACCTGGGCCACTTTGCCGGAGTTCAGACCTGCCCTTCGCTCCGGGTTGAAGCCGGGAAGAACTTTTCACGCTTACTGGTTGGCTGGCCAGTCCCTCGTACTCTCCTTTCTGCTCCTGAAGTCGCAGCCTTCCTCGGGGCCGACCCCGAGTTGGAGTGGAAGAAGAGAGCGCAGGGCACCGCGGGAGAATGAGGACTTGAACTCGCCTCTCCAGCCCACCGGCAACGCGGGACGGTTGCTTCACAGCGCAACATTTTGAGGTATATTGATACATCCCCCTGCCTCCTCCGGCCGGTGTTTTCATAGAATCCTAGAATAATAGTTAGAAGAGACCACTCAGGCCATCTTGTCCAACCCCCTGCCATGCAGGAAAAGCACAAAGTTTCCCTGACAAATGGCCATCCAGCCTCTGTTTAAAAGTTTCCAAGGAAGGAGCCTCCACCACACTCCAGGGCAGAGAGTTCCACTGCTGAGCAGCTCTTACAGTCAGGAAGTCCAAACTAATGTTCAGGTGGATTCCAGTAATTTGAACCCATTACTCCTTTCGTGTAATTTGAACCCATTACTCCGAGTCCTAGGGAGCTTCCGCACAGCCATATAAACCTGAATATCAAAGTGGAATATCTGCTTCGAACTGTGTTATTTGAGTTCACACTGCTATAAATCCCCATTCAAAGCAGATAGTGTGGGGTTTTACTCAGCTGTGAGGAAGGGGCCCTAGTTTCAAGGGCAGCAGAAAACAAGCCTGCTCCCTCTTCCTTATAACACCTTTTCACATTATTATACATGGTGATCATGTCTCCTTTCACTCTTCTCTTCTGCAGGCTAAACATGCCCAGCTCTTTCAGCCGCTCTTCATAGGGCATGGTGTCCAGATCTTTTATAATTTTAGTCACCCTCCTCTGGACACCTTCCAGCCTGTCAATATCTCTTTTGAACTGTGGTGTCCAGAATTGGACACAGTATTCCAGGTGAGTTCTATCTGAAGCCAAATAGGCACCATGACTTCCCTCAATTTAGACATTATGCTCCTATTTATGCAGTCCCAAATCCCATTGGCTTTTTAAGCTGCTGCATCATATTGTTGGTTCATGCTCAACTTGTTGTCCACGAAGACTCCAAGATCTTTTTCACATGGACTGTTGTCGAGCCAGGCATCACCCATCCTGTATCTTTGCATTTCATATTTTCTGTCTAAGTGTAGTATCATACATTTGTCCTGCGTCTTTCCTGTGAAGCAAATCCAGTATATATATTAAACTGCACTTTAAAGTAGGGGTGTCAAACCCATTCTCATCAAGGGCCACATCAGCTTTATGGTTGCCTTCAAAGAGCCAATAAATCCACAGATGGATAGTTTGCGGATACAAAGGGCAAACTACTGTTTTCTTTTCTTTTTATAATGTTTGGTGCTCTTTTGTTTAGGGTCCTCATTTGACAACAGTTCCCATCACTTTTGATTACATGCCACGTGGACTAGGGGATAATGAGAACAACTTGTGTTGTTCGGGCAACATCCATGGTCCATCCTGCTCCAAACTGCACCAGGATGTAGAGTGGGCTGGGTCTTGATCAGTTATTGGTGTGGGTTGCAGTGGTATCTGGGAGTGTGTGAAGGTACTGCAAATCCCATCCTCCATGGTCCATCCTCCTCCAAACCACACCAGGATGTATAGTGGGTCATGGGGGCTCTGTGTGCCAAATTTGGTCCTGATCTGTCATTGGTTTTGGTAACAGTGGTCTCGGGAAGTGAGTGAAGGTATTTCAAGTCCCATCATCCGTGGTCTGTCCTTCCCCAAACTTCAGGATGTAGAGTGGGTCACGGGGGCTCTGTGTGCCAAGTTTGGCTTGATCTGTGATTGGTGGGGGGCATAGTGGTCTGTGGTTGCCCAAGCATTTTAAAGTACTACAAATCCCATAATCCCTGGTCCACCTCCCCCAAACCGTGGGGGGAGGTGGACCAAGGATTATGGCAGCCAATCGGAAAGCTGCCACATACACACATACAATCATTCAGTTTTATTATATACTAGCTTGGAGATCCAGCGTTGCCCGGGTTATTTGAGAAAGGCAGTGTTTGTCTGTGTTCCAAGTTTAGTCTACATCCAATGTTGGCTAGGTGCAGGTGAAGTATAGTTCCATGGTCCATCCCCCTCCAAATCGGAACAAAATGTAGAATGGGTCATGGGGGCTCAGGGTGCCAAGTTAGGTCTTGATCACTCATAGGTGTGAGTCTCAATGGTCTTAGGAAGTGAGTGTAGCTACTGCAAGTCCCATAATCCATGGTTCATTGGTCCACAAACCCCACCCAGATGTAGAGTGGGTAATGGGGGCTCTGTGTGCCAAGTTTGGTCCTGGTGTGTGATTTGTAGGGGCCACAGTGTTCTGTGGGAAGTGCATCTGGTGAAGGTAGTGCAAATCCCATTGTCCGTAGTCCATCCTGCCCCAAACCGCACCAGGTTGTAAAGTAGGCCATTGGACCCCTTTTTGTGTAAAGCTTGGTCCTTATCAGTCATTGGTGTTGGTCACAGTGGTCTCAGGAAGTGAGTGAAAGTACTTTCAAGTCCCATTATCCATGGTCTGTGACCCTCCAAACTGCACCAGGATGTAGAGTGGGTCACAGGGGCTCTGTGTGCCAAGTTTGGTCTAGATCACTCATTGGATGAGGGTCACAGCAGTCTCGGGAAGTGAGCGAAGGTACTTCAAGTCCCATCATCCTCCAAACTGCACCAGGATGTAGAGTGGGTCATTGAGGCTCTATGTGCCAAATTTGGTCTTGATCAGTCATTGGATGAGGGTCCCAGCGGTCTTGGGAAGTGAGTGGAGGTACTTCAAGTCCCATCATCCGTCATCTGCCCTCGAAACTACACCAGGATGTAGAGTGGGTCATGGGGGCTCTGTGTGCCAAGTTTGGTCTTAATCAGTCATTGCATGTGGATCGCAGCAGTCTCAGAAAATGAGTGGAAGTACCTCAAGTACCATCATCCATGGTCTGCCCTCCTCCAAACTGCAGTAGGATGTAGAGTGAGTCATGGGGGCTCTGTGTGATAAGTTTGGTCTTTATTGGTCTTTGTTTGGACCCACAGTGGTCTGTGGGAACCAAAGGGTTTGTTTTGTTTTGTTTTGTTTTATTATTTTACTAGCTTGGGGACCCGCCACATACAAACTTTGACTTTTATTATATACTAGCTTGGGGACCCGGCGCTGCCCGGGTTATTAGAGAAAGGAATTGTATATCAAGGTTGGTCTTTATCAGTTATTTATATGGCTCGCAGCAGTCTCAGGAAGTTAGTGAAGGTACTGTGAGTCCCATCATCTGTGGTCCATCGTCCTCCAAACTGCACCAGGATGGAGAGAGGGTCATGGGGGCTCTATGTGCTAAGTTTGGTCTTGATCAGTCATTGGATGAGGGTCACAGCGGTCTCAGAAAGTGAGTTAAGGTACTGCAAGTCCCATCATCCATAGTCTCCCTCAAACATCACCAGAATGTTGAGTTGGCCATGGGGGCTCTCTGTGCCAAGTTTGGTCTTTATTGGTATTTGGATGAATGTCACTGTGGTTTCAGGAAGTGAGTGAAGGTACTGCAAGTCCCATCATCCATTGTCTGTCCTCCTCCAAACAGCACCAGGATGTAGAGTCTCTCATGGGGGCTCTGTGTGCCAAGTTTGGTCTTGATTGGTCATTAGATGAGGGTTGCAGCAGTCTTGGGAAGTGAGTGGAGGTACTTGAAATCCCATCATCCATAGTCTGTTCTCCCCCAAACCTCACCAGAATGTTGAGTTGGCCATGGGGGTTCTGTGTGCCAAGTTTGGTCTTCATCAGTCATTGGATGAGGGTCTCAGTAGTTTCACTAAGTGAGTGAAGGAACTGCAAGTCCCATCGTCCATGGTGCATCATCCTCCAAACCGCACCAGGATGTAGAGCAGTGGTTCTCAACCTGGGGGTCCCCAGATGTTTTTGGCCTTCAACTCCCAGAAATCCTAACAGCTGGTAAACTGGCTAGGATTTCTGGGAGTTGTAGGCCAAAAACATCTGGGGACCCCAGGTTGAGAACCACTGATCTAGAGTGCATCATGGAGACCCGGTGTGCCAAGTTTGGTCCTTATCGGAAATTGGATGATGGTTGCAGTGGTCTCAGGAATTGAGCGAAGATACTGCAAGTCCCATAATCCATGATCGATCCACAGTCAAACCACACCATGGCGTAAAGTGGGTCATGAGAGGTCTATGTGCCAAGTTTGGTGTTGTTCAGTCATTGTTGAGGGTCGCAGCAGTCTCGGAAAGCGAGTAGAGGTACTTCAAGTCTCATCATCCATGGTATGCCCTACTCCAAACCGCAGTAGGATGTAGAGTGGGTCATGGGGACTCTGTGTGGCAAGTTTGGTTTTGATCGGACATTAGATGAGGGTTGCAGCAATCTTGGGAAGGGAGTGGAGGTACTTGAAGTCCCATCATCCATGGTCTGTCCTCCTCAAAGTGCACCAGGATGTAGAGTGGGTCATGGGGACTCTGTGTGCCAAATTTGGTCTTGATCAGTCATTGGTGAGGGTCTCAGTGGTGTCAGTAAGTGAGTGAAGGTACTGCAAGTCCCATCATCCATTGTCAAATTCTTCCAAACCGCACCAGGATGTAGAGTGGGTCATGCAGGCTCTCTGTGTAAATTGTGGTCCTGACCCATCATTGTTGGCAGTTGTAATGGTCTTGGGAAGGGAGTGCAGGTATTGCAAGTCCCATCGTCCATGGTGCATCCTCCTCCAAACTGCACCAGGATGTAGAGTGCATCATGGAGACTCAGTGTGCCAAGTTCGATTTTTATCGCTAATTGGATGAGGGTTGCAGTGGTCTCAAGAATTGAGCAAAGGTACTGCATGTCCCATAATCCATGGTCCATCCCCAGCCAAACCACACCAGGACGTAAAGTGGGTCATGAGAGGTCTATGTGCCAAGTTTGGTCCTGATCAGTCATTGGATGAGATTAACAGCGGTCTCAGAATGTGAGTGATGGTACTGCAAGTCCCATCATCCATGGTTCATCCTCCTCCAAACTGCAGTAGGATGTAGAGTGGGTCATGGGGGCTCTGTGTGCCAAGTTTGGTCTGTATTTGGTAATTTTCTGACAGAGCCCCTGGCCTTTTCCTTTCCTCTCTTTGTCATCTCGGAATCTTGGAATTGAGGCTGGCCAATCAGAGACCATATGCAAATTTCCTTCTGTCATGTCCCGTTTCTGTCATGAACCCTTTTCTCCACCAGGGGCTCCTGTGAAGCTGGCCAATCAGAGACCATATGCAAATAGCACCACAGCGGCAGCCAATCAGAATCTTGGAACTTTCAGGCTAGCCAATCGGAAAGCCGGCACATACACCGCCACACATCCGCCGCATACAAACTTTGACTTTTATTATATACTAGCTTGGGGACCCGGCACTGCCCAGGTTATTAGAGAAAGTGGGTAATGGTGGTTCTGTATGCCAAGTTTGGTCTTTATTGGTCATTGGATAACGGCTGCATTGTTTTCAGGAAGTGAGTGAAGGAACTTGAAGTCCCATCATCCATGGTCCACCTCCTCCAAACAGCAGCAGGATATAGAGTGGGTCATGGGGGCTCTGTGTGCCAAGTTTGGTCTTTATCAGTCATTGGATGTGGGTGGCAGTGGTTTCAGTAAGTGAGTGAAGGTACTGCAAGTCCCATCCTCCTAAGCCCATCCTCCTTCAAACTGCAGCAGGATGCAGAGTGGGTCATGGGGGCTCTGTGTGCCAAGTTTGGTATTGATCAGTCATTGGTTCAGGGTCTCAGTGGTTTCAGTGGTTTCATCCTCCTCCAAACTGCAGTAGGATGTAGAGTGGGTCTTGTGTGCTCTGTGTGCCAAGTTTGGTCTGTATTGGTAATTTTCTGACCCAGCCCCTGGCCTTTTCTTTCCTCTCTTTGTCATCTCGGAATCTTGGAATTCAGGCTGGCCAATAAGAGACCATAT